AAAAAAAAAAAAAAAAAAAAAAAAAAAAAAAAAAAAAAAAAAAAAAAAAAAAAAAAAGACAGTATAAAGCCCTCTTTCTACATATCCCCCATTTACACATCCCCCAATTTCCCTACATAAACACACCTGCTGTTCTTAAGAACCTTCCAGTTTATGTGTATACAAGCACATATGAATGTATAGATTTCCCTTCTCTCTTATGAATGTACAGGATTTCCCTTCTCTTTTCACACAAAGGAGGCCTCATCTAACATATTCTGGTTTTACTTAACAATAAATCTTAGAGGTCTTTCCACATCAGTACATAAAGAAGTCCCTCACTCTTTCCTATAGCTGCATGGTATTCCAACACACGGATAAACCATGATTTATTGAAATGTTCCCTCTGAATGGGCATTTCCCCCACTCCTTTGCAATGGTAAATGTTGCTTATAAATTGCCTTGCAGCTCCACCTTTTCCACCTGACCACGAAGCAGCAAATTGACCAGGAGGCTGATGCAGCCCAGTTTCAGGCCCCTCCACTGCTTGGGCCCCTTCCTTCATGCCTACATTTGCATTCATAATTTTCTCATCTTTTTCTTAGATTGCTGCCTCCCCCAGCCAGGCGCAGTGGCTCACACCTGTAATCCCACCACTTTGGGAGGCCGAGGCAGGTGGATCACCTGAGGTCAGGAGTTCGAGACCAGCCTGACCAACATGGAGAAACCCTGTCTCCACTAAAAATACAAAATTAGCCAAACGTGGTGGCGCATGCCCGTAATCCCAGCCACTCAGGAGGCTAAGGCAGGAGAATTGCTTGAACCCGGGAGGCGGAGGTTGTGGTGAGCCGAGATCTCACCACTGCACTCCATTCTGGGCAACAAGAACAAAACTCCATCTCAAAAAAATAAAAGTGATTGTCCTGCCCCCCACCCACAAATTGCACAACCTTCAGGCCCTACAGAACCCAGCTCTGCCATCTCTGTGTATCTCCAAGGTAAACTTCTGGAAGTGGCATGTTCAAGCCTGAATTTTGCCTTGTCAATCTCAATATTGAGATTGTGATTCTGGGCTGGCAGAAGCCTGTGGAGGGTCTTCTGGGTATTATTTAGTAAAGAATCTGGCTGGCCTTTGTCCCTGGGTCTTAGGAGGGAGGCTCTAAATCCTTGGAATTTGTCAAGAATTAGGAGTGTCTTTCTTGTTCATGAATCACACCTGGACTTTGCTAAGAGCTGAGACAACAGGATGGGGCTGGTCACCACAAAGATCAACCATGTCATTAGAGATTTGGAGCCCTGAACCAGCCCAACCTCTCAAAGAGGGATTGGAGGTGGAGACAGTTCAATCACATCATATCTACGTAATGAAACTCAGTAAAAACTCTGGACACCAAAGCTTGGAGGAGTGTCCTGGCTGATAAACATATTGAGGTGGGGTGGGGGGGGTGGGGAGTGATGCAGGTGATGCTCCCTGATTCCACCTGGAGAGGGCACAGAAGCTCTGACTGGGATCCTCCCAAGCCTTGTCCTATGTGTCTCTTCATTGGCTGGTCCTAATCTTTATCCTTTACGATAAAACTGTAATTTAATGCTTTCCAGAGTTTTGAGTCTAACAAATTATGGAACCTGAGGGGGTCCTGGGGACCCCCAAATTTGCAGCCAGTTGGTCAGAAGTGTGGTGCTCTGGGGATCCCCAAAGTTTGGCTAGCATCTAAATCAGAGCGGTCTTGTGGATGTTGAAGCTCTTCACCTGTGGGGTCTTTAGCAACTCCAGGTCACCAGCACCAGGATTGAATTGTGGGGCTTTGCGCTAGAGTAAGGAGTCCAGGAACCCCAGAAATTGTTTGTGACTGTATGTGTTTTTCTGGGGAGAGTGTCTATAGATGTCAGATTCTATGTGGGGTTGGCGACCCCCAAAAAGGTTAAGAACCACTATTTAGAGTGGAGAACTTGAGGCTTTGGAGTCACTTAAACCAGAATTGGAAGCTTAGCCTTGCCTCTTGTAGCTACTTGACTGGGTAAATTGCTTAACCTCTCTGAGTCTCAGTTTACTCATCTGCAAAATGGGGATTGATATGGGTTGGCTGTGTCCCCACCCAATCTAATTTTGAATTGTAGCTCCCATAATTCTCACATGTTGTGGGAGGGACCTGGTGGAAGATAATGGAATCATGGGGTGGTTCCCCCCATACTGTTCTCATGGTAGTGAATTAAGTCTCACGAGATCTGATGGCTCCATAAGAGGTAACCTCTTTTGCTTGGTTGTCATTCTCTCTCTTGCCTGCTGCCATGTAAGATGTGCCTTTTGCCTTCTGCCATGATTGTGAGGCCGCCCCAGCCATGTGGAACTGTGAGTCCATTAAGCCGCTTTCTCTTTTTTTTTATTTTTTTGAGATGGAGTTTCGCTTTTGTTGCTCAGGCTGGGGTGCAATGGCAGGATCTCGGCTCACCGCAACCTCTGCCTCCCAGGTTCAAGCAGTTCTCCTGAGTAGCTGGGATTACAGGCATGCGCCACCACACCCAGCTAATTTTGTATTTTTAGTATAAATGGGGTTTCTCCATGTTGGTCTGGCTAATTTTGTATTTTTAGTATAGATGGGGTTTCTCCATGTTGGTCAGGCTGGTCTCAAACTCCTGACCTCAGGTGATCCGCCTGCCTTGGTCTCCCAAAATGCTGAGATTACAGGTGTGAGCCACCGTGCCTGGCTCACCTCTTTTTCGTTATGATTTACCCAGTCTTGGGTATGTCTTTATCAACAGTGTGAAAACGAACTAATACAGGGATGGCGACAGCACAGGGCTGCGGTGAAGGGCAAATGAGAATACTCACATGAAGCGTCTAACACAGGCCTCGCAGGATGTCACCAGCGCTCAGTAACTATCACTTTCCTTCCATCTGCCCCCCAACTTCTCCCTTACCTGAGCCCCCTTCCAAAGCCAAGGACAGGTCCAAGCCGGAGTATACAGACTGGTTTCCAACCTGGGCCTGGGGCAAAAGGAGTGGTGCGCACCTACATGGCCGAGGTCCCCACCCTGGGCTCCTTCCCACAGGGTCCCCTCCGTGTCTCAGGGGCTAGGGTGCTTACTGTAAGTTCATGACCTCCTCATTGTCCTCCTGGATGCTGGTACTATGGGTGGCACTCACTGTCAACAGGGTAGTAGATGGCACAGGTGGAAATGCAGTTGTGATTGTTGAGGTCCTGGCTACAGTGACACTGGTAGGTGTCATTGACGTTGATGCTGGTGACAAAACCACAAGTCAGACTCAGGGAGCTGTCCTCACACTCTCCCACCGCTCAGGATGCCTTTCTGGTTTGATTTCATGTGAAATGCCCACTCAGGAAGGGGGCGGAATGCAGGACCTCCTGGGCCAACTGGGCATTTCTAAACAGGACCCAGGTTCCACTCCCAATGGTCCTGATTTTCCGTCCTGCTGCTGGGGGTCCAGGTGTTCCTGTGAGCCGCCATGCTGCAGAGGAGTCAGTCTACACTGCAAATCTGACCTGTCACATGGTAAGGCTCCCCCTGAGAGCAGCAGCTTCCCATCTGGCCCCCAGAGCCTCTCTGTTAAGCCCTACTCTCTCCCCACGCAGGTGCACTTCTGTGGTGCTGAGCCTCAGGTGCGCTCCTGGCTCCTTCACAGGCAATGCTCTCTCAGCCTCCCTGTCACCGGACCCTTCCCTTCTTCAACACTGGGCAGAGGTGTCAGCTGCTCCAGGAGAGGCCCCCTGACTATTCCCCTAGCCCCATCTCTCTCCCTCTTACACACATACACACACACACACACACACACACACACACACAGCTTTGCGTCTCTGATCTGATTCCTGCCCCAACAATTCCAACCTGAGGCCTGTTTAGGCACTGAGGGAAGGAGGGGCTCACCTGGGAACACGGACACCTCGACCTGGATGAAGCGATCGTGAAAGTTGTGGAGCAATGGTGTATCCACCCCACACCAGTATGCGCCTGCGTCGTCCTCTGTAAGATTCTCCAGGGTCACTGTGAAGCTGAGGTTTGCAGGATGGTCCCTGATGGACACTCGGCCGTTCCTCAGTTTTCCTGCTGACCCTTTGGTCTCCACAATCTTGGCACATCCAATAGTCCACCGTACTCTGCACCAGTATTTGTTGAGAGTCCTGTGTTCCTCCTCATACCCACACTGCACGCTCAGGGATCCCCCCAGGGGGCCCGCCACGGTGCGGGGGCCGCTCAGAGCAAAACAGCCTGGAAAACACAAGCCCGAGTCCAGGCTCCTCCTCAGATGGGCCTGGCCAGGGCTGCCCCTGGGTCAGGGCTGCATGGACCCTGGGGGTGTGGAGGAGGCAGCGGCAGCCAGACAGGCCCTGTCCACCCAGGAGTGGGGACTGGGGGTGAGAGCCTCCCTCCGTGCACAAGTGGGAATGGGGCAGAGGCTTCCATAGAGACTGGAAGGGCTCAGGCTGGGTGCCCTGGGGTCACCTCCTCCAAAGATTCCCAAACGCCCCATCAGCACCCCAGCCCTCAGCCCCTGACTCCTTCACCTCATATCAGCCCCATCAGCCAGATCATACCTTGAGCATTCTCTTTTTTTTTTTTTTTTGAGACGGAGTTTCGCTCTTGTTACCCAGGCTGGAGTGCAATGGCGCGATCTCGGCTCATCGCAACCTCCGCCTCCTGGGTTCAGGCAATTCTCCTGCCTCAGCCTCCTGAGTAGCTGGGACTACAGGCACGCGCCACCATGCCCAGCTAATTTTTTGTAGTTTTAGTAGAGACGGGGTTTCACCATGTTGACCAGGATGGTCTCGATCTCTTGACCTTGTGATCCACCCGCCTCGGCCTCCCAAAGTGCTGGGATTACAGGCTTGAGCCACCACGCCCGGCCCGAGCATTCTCTTTTCTGCTCTGCGACCCCGAGATTTTGCTCACAGCAGCCCCTTTCTCCAGCCCCCTGCCTCCTTTTCCTTACCCTTCCCACCCCTCTCACCCACAGGGGCCTCCTACTTCCAAATCTGCCAGGAACATGAGAACTTACCCCTAAGTACCTGCCTTCCCGGGAGGGCCACCCCAGCCCTGGGCACCCCAGCGAGAGGAAGACCACCCAACATACTGATCTGGTCCCACCAGGGGACAAACCTGGACAGCAATAGGGTTGTCAAGCCATTTTGACAAGAATACTGGCTAGGTACAGTGGCTCATGCCTGTAATCCCAGCACTTTGGGAGGCTAAGGCAGGTGGATCACTTGAGGCCAGGAGTTCGAGACCAGCCTGGCCAACATGGTGAAACCCCGTCTCAACTAAGAATACAAAAATTAGCCCGCATAGCAGCACACCCCAGTAATTGTAGCTACTGGGAACCTGAGGCACGAGAATCGCTTCAACCCTGGAGGCAGAGGTTACGTTCAGCTGCAATGGTGCCACTGCACTCTAGCCTGAGTGACAGTGAGACTCCATCTCATAGTGACAAATGCAGAAGGCACATTGACAAAAACTTTCATTCGTCCTGTGTCTTACCTTATTTTGCCCAGCTCTTCTAGACTTAAATCTCTGAAATAAATGAGCTTCCTTGAAAATTAGGTCTGCCATTTTCACAAATAATTCTCAGATGCAAAGTAGGGAAAGTAAGGTGATGGCTGGAAGCTAGTGTCTGCCGTTAAGCAGAGGACACATGGCCCCTCTCCCAGGCAGATGGGCATGTGCCCGCTGGGAAGTTATGTGTGCAGTGTCTCACTGCCCTTGTAATTCTGTGATCGGGCCCCATATTGGCTGGGGATGGTGGGAAGCGGGCTTGCTCTCCTTTCCTCAGGTTAGAGCTCTTATTTATTTATTTATTTTTTTTTGAGATGGAGTCTCACTCTGTTGCCCAGGCCGGAGTGCAGTGGCAGGATCTCGGCTCACTGCAACCTCCGCCTCCTGGGTTCAAGTGATTCTCCTGCCTCAGCCTCCCAAGTAACTAGGATTACAGGTGTCCACCATATCCATCTAATTTTTGTATTTTTAGTAGAGATGGGGTTTCACCGTGTTGGCCAGGCTGGTTGTGAACTCCTGACCTCAGGTGATCTGCTTGCCTCGGCCTCCCGAAGTGTTGGGATTACAGGTGTGAGCTACTGCGCCTGGCCAGAACTCTTTAATTTCACTTACTGTTTCAAATGGTTAAATCTCCTCACATGGGACTTTTGGAGCACTGAAATGGAAGCCCCAGGAGGTAAGGGTCTCCTTCTCATCCCTTCAGTGTCTACAGGTGCCTTGAATATGGTAGGCCTTTTATAGAAACTTTATGACCCCTCCTCCTCGACCCCATCGGCTCCACACCCAGCCCATGGCTGCCCAAAGATGATGACAAGTTCCCCAGTGCCTCTCCCAGAGGCCCCCGCAAGCCTCCCCTCCTGGCCTGGGTGTACAGATCCCCTGCAGAGGAGGCCTTTCTAAGCTTGTCACAGGTGTGATGTTTCCTGAGACTCTCCGCGGCAATTGCCAGCACGAAGCAGAAGGAACCTCAGAAGAATCTGCGTTTATATCTCTACCCTATTATGTATCGGGTGTTCTGAGACAAGTTAGTTAACCTCTCTGAGCTTCAGACACCTCGCCTAGGAAGTGGTGACAATTGTCCCTGCCTCATATGGCCTTTGCGGGTGTTAAATGAGATCACAGGTGCAAAACGCCTGGCAAATAACATTAGGTTGAATCACACGAAATGGCCAAGATTCAACTTTTTGACCAAGACAACAGGGTTTCATATGACTGGGGCTAATAAAGATGGATAACCTTTGGGCTGCCCTGAATAAGAGATGACAAGAGAAAAGGACCATAGATGAAGGAAGAATGGAGAGTCAAGATATCATTTTGCAGAAATTCCCTACAAAAAATTCATAAACTTAGAGGAATGTGATTTTCTAGAAAAACGCAAATCACTAAAATTGACACATGCTAATTGCTTAATAAGTAGATGTAGTCTGGGCAACATGGTGAGATCCCATCTCTACAAAAAAGAATACAAAAATTACCTGGGTGTGCTGGTGCACATGCGCAGTCCCAGCTACTCAGGAGGCTGAGGTGGGAGGACCACTTTAGCCCAGGAGGTTGAGGCTGCAGTGAGCTATGATCACGTTACTGCACTCCAGCCTGGGTGACAGTGAGATCCTGTCTTAAATAGGCCAGTGAGTGGCTCATGCCTGTAATCCTAACACTTTAGGAGGCCAAAGTGGGGGGATCGCTTGAGCCTGGGAGGTTGACGCCAGCCTGGGCAACATGATGAGATCCCATCTCTACCAAAAATACAAAAAATTAGCAAGGTGTGGTGGCACGTGCCTGGATTCCCAGCTACTCAGCAGGCTGAGGCAGGAGGATCACTTGAGTCCAAAAGGTGACGACTGCAGTGAGCTGTGATCATACCACTGCACTCCAGCCTGGGCAACAGAGTGAGACCCTATCTCAAAACATACATACATATATACATAAATGAATGAATGAATGAATGTCAGTTCCCAGCCCTCTTCCACCCAAGATACTGCTCCTGGTCCCTGTCCTGACCCGATTCCTTGCCTCTCCTGAGCTGTGAATCGTCACCTTTCTTTGTCTATTTTGGCTTCTCTCCTGACCTCAGTGACCCCACCTCCTCTGCCCACAGCACCCAGTCCTGTCTCTCGTCCCACCTCCAGTGTCTGACTTGTCTTTGGATTCTCTCTCCTCTCTTCTCTCTCTCTCTCTCTTTTCTGTCTCTCCTGATTAACTTCTCCCCTCTGAAATCTTGGATAAAAAACTGTAACCTGGCCAGGTGTGGTGGCTCATGCCTGTAATCCCAGCACTTTGGGAGGCTGAGGTGGGCAGATCACGAGGTCGGGAGTTAGAGACCAGCCTGACCAACATGGTGAAACCCTGTCTCTACTAAAAATACCAAAATTAGCTGGGTATAGTGGTGCATGCATGCAATCCCAGCTACTTAGGAGACTGAGGCAGGAGAATCACTTGAACCCAGGAGGCGGAGGTTGCAGTGAACCGAGATCATGCCATTGTACTCCAGCCTAGGTGACAGAGTGAGACTCTCTCAAAAAAACAAAAACAAAAACAAAGAACTATCACCTAATCTCCCCAAAGCTCTGCCCCACCTGTGAAGGTGGCTTTATAATTTATAGATTGGGAAGTGTCAGAAAACCCTCTGTTTATTTCCCCCAATCACATGTATCCCCAGCGCTCCCAGCCCCAGTCCTCTAATCATAAGCAGGAGACGAGAGACTGCCTTGGGGCCAGGGTCCTCTACCAGGATGTTTATCTGTTGTCTTAATGTTTTCCTTTAAGATCAGGGTCTCGACCCATTAACTCTCAGATAAATGACTCAATTGTCCAACTCAAGAGGTCAGAAAAGGAACACACGCATACGCAACATAGGACCAGGTCTTCTTTCACTAATTTGTGAATTCACAGAAATCAGTGAAATAAGAAACTAAAACAGAACAAAAACAATAATATATATATATAAAACACAAAAGAAGAAACAACAGTGGAGTTAGTACATACATTTAAAAATGGATTTTTCCGCCGGGCGCGGTGGCTCAAGCCTGTAATCCCAGCACTTTGGGAGGCCGAGGCGGGTGGATCACGAGGTCAAGAGATCGAGACCATCCTGGTCAACATGGTGAAACCCCGTCTC